CTCTGAGACAATGTTTAAGAATAAGAATCCAAGACCTGTTTGACTGACCTATTACAATGGCAGGTATTATCTGATAATTTGGTAATGTCTTAGCAAATCTGCAGTACACCTGTTGCATTTGTCTGTGCTTATGTTAACATGCATAGACTTACTACTCCTTTACCATTCGACGACAATGGTTAGACATCGACTATGGGCCAGGCACTATTAATAGGTACTGGGCTCCAGAAATGACAAAATGACACAAGTACTTTCTCTCGTGAAGCTTATACCCCAGTGGGGGCAGACAGATAATAAACAAGTGAGTAAAAATACACACATGCTTGGATGTTGAGAGTAATATCAAAGACATATTAAAGACATGCTTAAATATGCTCTGGCAGAAAGAAAATCCATCTACTTATCACAATGTAAAAATAAAACACATGCCCTTCTATAAAATAAATTACATTAACAATTATGGCAGGCCCACACAATAAAAAGGACAACCATGGTGTTAATTTGCTGCTAAATGTGATAAAGCAATGTATAATGTTGTTTGGCCCATTATTATTATTAATATTTCATGAAAGACTGCAGAGTAAGGAAAGTCTGCAAATATTTACTACATGTCTGTTGAATAATTAGTACCATGCCATGTACTGGGATACAAAGAACTAGCAAATTATAGTCAATCACACCCTTTAAAAGTTTAACATACACGCAACCAGGAGGTTCTATAAATCCAACTAGGAAAAGTTCATAAGGGCAAACAACAGCATTAGAATGCGAGCTAAAATATGAGGTTATGCAAAACCGACCGCAGAGTGAGAAAATGATCAATTTCTGAAAGGGGGGAAAGGCCATGAAGAGTAGAAAGGGCTTCAAAAAGAGGGAGTGGCCCTAACCGCAACACAGCTGGAGAGATGCAGTACATCTGCGAGATGGTTCTGGTGAGCAGGACCTGAATTTATGAAGGCCTGGATGAGTGTGATAGCACAGGCAGCAGATCTGAAGGCAGGGACCTGACATTTATCTTGAAGATAGCGTCAGCTATTCTTATGACTGAGTGGACTCAGGGACAGAGAGAATGTGGCAACTTCCACCCACCTACTAGGCTCCAGACGCTGAAGCTCCAGCTCCAGGACTAGGCTGAGTCCAACTCACCACTGGTAACTTCAAGTGGCCCAACCGTGAGGGCCCAGCACTGGGACCCCAAGGAAGAGAGAAAAAAATGTTTTATAATGCAAAAGATCCAACAGCTAAGACTAGTGGTCAGGAAGATGCCAGTGCCTCCAGCAATAGGACCATTAGCAAGCACAGCTGAAAGACATTACTGCTTGGGGCCAGAAAAATCCTGGTACAATTGACCAGGCCACAAAAATCACCCAGAGGAATTGGTTTTGGAATGAGAGTTGATGAGCCAGTTGTACTGAAGCTGACTTTTAGATAATGGGGAAGCATCGACCGCCTTAGGAGCAAATGAATGTGTAGAACCCACGCCATCAAAAAAAGGAGAGTCGGAACCCATGTGCACAAATGAAATTTTTTTCCCTTACGGAAAAAAAACAAAATTAACGCTTGGAAAAGAGTTGGTGAAAAAAAGATACAGAGGTCAAGAGAAGGGAGTTTGAAGGAATGGCCTGAAGAGATTCAGATAGGAGGGAGTGGTTAGGGGGATTCCTTCACGGAGAAAGCTTTTAAGACGGAAAAACACAGCTTTCAGAGTATTTGTGCTCAACCAAATGGACAGAACAGCCCCAAACATGAAGAATTAGGCCTGGTTTTATGTGATAAATTGAAGGATACTGTAGAAAGACTCAGCCGCATGACCCAATCCCACCAATCCCACCATAAAAGCATTAAAGCAGAGATTTAACCCACAGAAAGTTATGAGGAGGTCCTCTCCATTTACAGAATAGTACAAACATGACATGCCACCCAAAACAAAGGGAACTTTATTCTCCCTCTCCACTTTGCTTTTTTGAAACTGTGGATTAAAACAAAAAATGTTAATGATTTCAATGTCAGTTGCAACCTACGTCCAACACTGAGTAATCAATCTCAATGGCCAATCATTTAAAACTTTGCTGGAACTTATGGAGTGTACTCCAATTTTTTTTCCCCCCCCTTAAACTTGAAAAGCGTTACAGTTTGAAAGCCTGGTAACAGTTGGTATTACCAACTGTTTTTGTTTTTAAAAAGCACAGTCCAGAGATCTGATACTGACATTCCCTTACCCCTTCTTTTTAAAAATATTCCACTGTCATTACAGTTTTTGCAAAGCACAGTTTAAGGGTAGTTGCTCAGGCATGCCCTTTGGTTTTTAGTACTAAAGATTTTTTTTAGAAATCAACTTTAGAGACTGCAAGGCACAATTTAAGTTAGGTGCTAGGTTTTAGATAACACTTTTACAAAAATATATGTATGTGTGCTTACATGTATGTTTATTCATGTATTTATGAAGATTGAAGAGAGCCTCTCAAGATTTAATTGCTGCTATGACCGATTACATGGAAAAAATCAGGCAAAAAGACATTGCTTTAAAATTTAAAAAGAAAATGCAGTTAATGCAAATAAAAAATAAAAATTAAGACTGATATATTTCATGAAAACTATGATTTTTAACAACAAAAAGAGATCAGAATTAAGGAAGCCATGACATTTAACATGGCAGGGAAAGGAAGAAAAACTATGTCTATAATATGCTGGCTCACTAAAACAGTCCAGGTGTAATAACAGGATAATATAATCACCTGAAAACTACTTCGACCCATGTACTAAAATCCGTGAAGCATGATGGCTTCCTTTAGCAAATGCCTTTTCTCACATATCCCCGTATCACTGTTCTATGATCTCTGTCTCTTCCACCCTCCTGGACAGCACTTCCACATCCTTTCGTGGGAAACTCTGGTGGCACGTGACACCCACAGGCTGGTTGGGTGCTTCTGTGGGTTCTCACCAACCCGTGTGCATACTCTTTCAATAACACCTCCTAGTATAATTGCTGTGGGTTTATCTCCCTCCCCATGTATCCTGCAGCTGGCCTTTGAAGGGTGGGTCTCAATCTCTTATCTTTTGAACACAATACCCAGCAAACAAGGTTTTTGAGTTTATAAATTAGTAAGTAGTGTGCTGCCCTGTGGATATGAATTAAAATGTGGGGTTTCCTTTTAAGACAAATATCGAGCCACTCAACATACAGAACTAGGCAACTTGCAGGAGACTGTGTAGGCTCAAAGCTATAGGTCTTGTAACTTCATAGCATAAGAAGTGAAATCATTTTTGTTTGACTAGCATGTTAATACATTCCACAAAACTAAAAAAAAAGGAAAAGAAAAAAACCAAACAGTGCTTGGCTTTGAAAGACAAACCCAAACAGAAAGGTCTGAGTTACTGTGTAAAAGCTGACTCACAATGGGATTTAAATCATAAAGTGGTGGTCTCCTGATCCTCTGGAGCTACTTCTACTCTAGCAGGTGGGAATTCATGCTGCAACTCTAAGGAGAGATAGGACGGTTAAGACCTGACCCGGCTGGATGGGACAGAGAGGGGAGAGAACTCAACAGCTAATCCTTGGACCCATCCAAAGACAGTGCAAATACCAGCCATCTCAGAGCAGGTGGGCAGTTGCTTCTTTGTGCTTATCTGGAGTCTCTTTCTGCTTGGGTTGCTCTGCCTTTCCTCTGTTCTGATCTACTTGTCAAACCAACCTGAATCAGGGAGCAGTGGGCATACCTCCCAGGAGCAAGAGACCCAGGCTGCAGAGTATGTGGGGGAAAGCATCAGCCTGAGGTTCCACCAGGAACCCACCTGCCTGCAGCAAGCCTATCAGCAACAGGGAACTTCAAGCCTGGGCAGAAAGCTAGGCACACAAAAGCAGCAGAGCTCAATCCCTTCCACCAAGTTGTTGAAATTTGTGTCAAAAAGACTTTGGCAGCAAAAGAACTGACCTGGCATGCCCATTATGGCAAAGGAGAGAACAAGGCCCTTGTTGGAAGAATTAAGTAATGTCAGTAGACTTCTGAAAACCAGCGTCCCGTCAATTTCACAGATTTGGGTTTGTGGATTAGAACAATAGAAAAGATGGGGTACACATGCTGGGTTCTCCCATCAAAACATGAATTCTTACAAAATGCAGTGGAACTCTAGAAAAGTTAGGGGTCATCCACTGGGAACATGCTAATAACCTTGGTCAGTCCTAGTTTTAAATGACAGAGACATTCTGCAACACTGAGACAAGCTAACCGGACATTTCGTCTTTCCAAGGCACTTAAGGAGAGCATCCTGTTTTAGCAGTTCGGCATAAATGGACATCAAAGTAAAGGAGGAGTTAGCATGAGCATCCTTGCTCAGTGTTCTAGAGGACACTGATGCTTTGATCTTGGCTTCCTGGTAAGGTCATTCCTGGGAGCTTACCAGCTCCCTTACCAGGACGGTATGGCCAATACCACAGTTGCTAACCTTTCACAAAGACCTTAGGTAGCAAAAGAAAAATCAGACGGCTCAGCACTAGGTTCTGCACTCTTCTGGCAGCAAGGCTGGTCGCATCGGTCTATAAATTCAGCAGCAGGGTTATTTTATTATGGGAAGCAGGAAGTGCCCCAGTAGTCTACACTCTCATGACTCTTCTTCACATAAAAGAGAACCATAAGCTTACTGTCCTTGTGTTCTGTTTTTTTTTTTTTTTTAGAGCTGTAAAATGTAAGCTGAGCCATCGAGCCTGTCATACATACATTCTCTCCTGCACCACATTAAACTGTGATTACAATAAAAGAAGGGAAAAGGACCTTAACCTTGGGCTGGGCCTTCCTGTTACTTAGAATTTGGTCCCCTGTTTCTATCACATACTAAATTCTGTTTCACATCCATCTGTACGATTCTCAAAGGCACGTCAGCGAGCATAGTCATTAGAGTGATGTCTATGTGAGCAATGGTTAAGTGGCCATTAGTCTTGAGGTGAAAGGTAACATCTCAACGACAGTGTCCCTGAAGGAGGGATGAGGGCTGGGGATGGATACCTAGCTGCTTTTCGCGCTCCTCGCGGCGCTCCCTGGCCAGCCGCTGCCGGTCATCGACCCGTAGCACGAGAGGAGGGTCTGCAAAGGAGATAAAACACATAAGCAGAAGAGTGGATTTTCTCTTAACAATATACTTTGATAAATATCTTTTTAGCTAGTAAATTCGATGAATGAGATATTACTATGTCTTACAACAACTGGTATATAGGACTATAGTTTTGGTGATATGCCTTATTATTATGATTTTTTCTGAGAATTTTCAAGCATTTTTCTCCTGCTTAAAAACATTATGTGAGAGTAGATCCTAAGAGTTCTCATCACAAGGAAAAAACCACCCCCCCTTTTTTTCTTTCCTGTATCCTCAGGAGATGAGGGATGTTAACCTGACTGTGGTGATCATTTCACAGCACAGCTAAGTCAAGTCACTGTGCTACATACCTTAAACTTATAGCCTGCTCTATGTCAGTTCTAGCTCAACAAAAATGGGAAACAAGTTCTAGAAAAAAAATAAAAAGACACACAGCCTGCCCACCCCCCCCTCCAAAACCCATGATGTAAAAACATAACTGTAGCCTTTTGACTATTTCTGTCCAGCAACAGATATGATGCTTGGGTTCCTAAGCTAGTGAACTTCTATCATTTTTATGCTTTAAAAAGTCTGTTCCTCAACAGCAAACAGAATCCTAAGTGAAGTTCTACTGAATAGAGGTTCACCAGCTGAATGCAAAAAGCCCAGCTTTGGAGTCACACAGGCAAGAGTCCACTTTCTGTCCTGTCTCTCACTTGCTAGGTAAATTTGGCTGAGTTACTCACCAACTCTCTTAGTCTCAAGTTAATTAGGGCATGGGTTTCATGGATTCTTTTTTCTTAAGATTTTATGTATTTATTTTAGACAGAGAGAGATGGAGTGAGAGAGAACGAGCATAAGCAGGGGGACCGGCAAGCAGAGGGAGAGGGAGAATCAGGCTTCCCGCTGAGCAGGGAGCCCAACATGAGACTCGATCCCAGGACCTCGGGATCACGACCTAAGTCCAAGGCAGATGCTTAACTGATGGAGGCACCCAAGCGCCCCCTGCGTTTTGATGTATTACCTACAAAACGAGAATAAATAGAACCAATCTCACATCACTGTAAGAACTAAATGAAATGCTTGAAACGGTGTTAGTTACGTGCCTCACACATAAGCCTCAGTTCACTCATTCATTCACTGATAACATGGTGAACATCAACTCTGCACCAGGCATTGTTCTAGGTACTGAAAAGAAAGCAATCGAGGAAAAAAAAAATCTCTGCCCTTGTAGGGACTGCATTCTATTCAGGGAGAATTTTACGAACAGGATAAATAAGAGATACGAAATGAAAAAAGGGGGCTGGGGCGTCTGGGTGGCTCAGCTGGTTAAGTGTCTGACTTTGGCTCAGATCATGATCTCGGGGTTCTGGCATGTAGCCCCATGTGGCTGCTCTGCACTCAGCAGGGAGCCTGCTTCTGCCCTTCCCCCTCCTTGCATGTGTCCTCTAATAAATAGAAAAAATCTTTAAAAAAATGAAAAAGGGGAAAATATACTGAACGTTAGTTTGAGATAAATGCTAAGGGGACAACAAAGCAATAAAGTGGATTGTGACATGGCAGGAAGGGACTGTTTAACATTTTAGACAAGGGCCAAGGGAGGCCTAACTGATGTAACTTCTACGTGTAAAACCCTGATGGAAAGGACACATGGATGTGCAGATATTCCAGGAGATGGGAAGCAAGCACAAAGGCCCTGAGATTAAGAGCACATAATGTGCTCAAGAAACGGGTAGATCTACGAGCCTGGAGTGGAGTGAGATCACAAGCAATGGGGCCAGACCTGTAAGGGCCATGGCACGGGGCTCCCTGGTCACAGGGAGGACTCTGGATGGCACTCCAAGCGAGACACTGCTGCGGGTTTCCCAGCAGAGAGCTATACTAATGCGCTCACTCTGCTACTATATAAACAAGCAAAATGATGATGATAATTACCTCAAAATCAGGTTTATTTTCTCTTCTCTTAAACTGACATATTTTTAAGATCTCATGTTAAAAATAGAAAGCTAGTGGGACAATATTTTAGATAGCATGGTGGTGGTTCATCAACAAATTGAAAGGCCCTCCATCCCAAAGGCCTATTGAATGCCACGGGATTTGTACATGGAGGGGGAACAGAAACCGTAGAAAAGGCCCATCAGGAGCCTGCAAAAACCTGGCAGTGAGAATCACGTGCAAGACTAAGTGATAGTATTTTATGCTTTTCCTTTCTTTTTCTTTTATTTTTTAAGATTTTATTTATTTGACAGAGATCACAAGTAGGCAGAGAGGCAGGCAGAGAGCGGGGTAGGGAAGCAGGCTCTCCACAGAGCAGAGAGCCCGACACGGGGCTCGATCCCAGGACCCTGAGATCACGACCTGAGTGGAAGGCAGAGGCTTAACCCACTGAGCCACCCAGGCACCCCTCTTTTATTTTCTTTTAAGGTATGAGTTTTAGAAACTGGTCAAAGGACCCCTACCAGTAGCTCACATTTATTAGGATACTTACTTTTCAGACTTACTGATTATTTATGAGATTTCAAATATTGTTTGTGTAAGAAAATATGGCTCCTGGCCCCAAAAGCTTTACTTCTGGAATCTGAAAATGGGCACGTGGCCTCCCACACAGGCACCTGGTTATGAGCCATACACGGGGTTGTTTTACTGTCATTTGTTTCTGGTGAAAAGAAATGACAGCATGACAAATGGCATTTGCAAGAAAGAACTATCTGAGAACAAGTCAAAATGCAGTTAGAAGAGACCTTCAATGATTACTTACGACTTAAGTAATATGCCTTAAACAATGAGGTTTACCTGTTAATAAACACTTATTTAACTATATATAACCCCCAAGTCAATTTTATTAAAAAAGACTTTATATAAAAAAGACATAAGCACTTTACAGAAAGTCCACAAAATAGTTTAGGGGTGCCTAGGTGGCTCAGTCAGTTAAACGTCTGCTCTTGATTTCGGCTCAGGTCACAATCTCCAGGTGGTGAGATCGAGCCCCGCATCTGGCTCTATGCACTGCATGGAGCCTGCTTGACATACTCTCTCTCCCTCTGCCTTTGCCCGCCTCCCCGCTCCCATACTTTCTTTCTCACTCAATTAATAAATATCTTAAAAAATACTTTAATTCCTTTGAATTACATTTACAATTTCTGTCACAGACTATCAATAAGAAGGGTGTGACATTTCTAGCTTACTTTCAAGTACTTGCCAAATTTCAGGCAAAATTTTGAAAAAAATTTTTGAAGGGAAGATTTTAATAACAACGTATGGGACACACACCCCCTCACCTATCCTCTTCTAACCAAACCAACCCTGAGAGCTCCAAATCAATAACAATATCAATAACCCAATTACACACTATAATGGTTGCTGTTTGGATACACAGTAGGAAAACAGCACTACACGAGGTGATTTCCATAATATCATTTCATATGAAGATTATGCTCATCACATGTAATAAACTCCACCCTGACTGATCGTGTAATATATAAGAAACAAGGACGTATAGACTGCTGCACAAACATATCAATCAATAGCTAAAAATAAGGCCAATGCTTACAAGTATAATGATTCCTGCTGACCTTGTTTTGAGCGCTGGAATGATAATCACTATTCATTTGGAATCAGATTTTGAGGAAGTAAAGAATTAGGGCACGGTGATTGTGATATCCTAGAGATGATTTTGGTTGGTTTAGGAACCTGGCATTAGAAAAACGCTGAACTATAGAGGGAAAAAGGCATTCAGGTCATTTTTTGTTTTTTGTTTTTTTAAAGATTTTATTTATTTATTTTAGAGAGAGTGGAGGGGAGAGGGAGAGAGAATCTCAAGCAGACGCTGTACTGAGCACCCTGAGCCCGACGGTGGGGCTCCATCTCAGGAGCCTAAGATCGTGACCCTGAGATGGTGACCTGAGCTGAAACCAAGAGTCAGATACTCAAAACTGACTGAACCACCCAGGCACCCCAAGGCATTCAGTTTAAATTCTGTTTCCATCCTTCTGATTACATCCAGTCACTTGGGTGCCAGAATGTCAATAATATTGCTGGTGGATTAGAGATGGGGTGGGGAGGAACAGAGCCTTGTTGGTTTTGTTCACTGCGTATTCCCAGTGTTTAGGACCACATCTGGCAGAAAGGAGAACATTTAGAAGCATCTGTTGAACAAATGAGCAAACAACCTTCGCTAACTTTCACAGCCTTTAAACTCCCCCAACATACACCAGTGGGGCAAACAAACAGCAATCTCGTATTTGATAACAGACTTAAAAAAAATAAATGCTGAACAGTCACCATTTTAGTAACCAAAAACTGATAAAAATCATCTTTAAAGCGAGGTTTCCAAAAAGAAAAAAATTGAATAGTTCCAAATAAAGAGTGAATTTTCTAGGATTCTTTGTCTCCCTCTCATCTCCAACCCTTACGTCCCTTTTCCCTGCAACAAAATCAAGGTGAAGGAAGTAAATGAACGTCCTGTACATTTCACATCGTTTCCTGACAGATCTAATCACTGTCAGAAGGAAAAGTTTTCAGAGCAACAGAACGTTGCTGTGAGTTCACCTGCAGCTGCCCTCCACATTCAACTTCTGGCTGAGACGACTTGAAGCAGGGGGCTGACCACCCAAACTGGGGCACTTTTAAGAGTGACAGGAAGTGCTCCTGATATCCTGTCTTCAGTGACATGCATGAGCCTAGACCACAAAGGGGGAGCTCAGGGGCTCTTGAAGAAAGAAAATCAACTGACACGGACAAGGTTTTCTCAAGAGCTCACCAGGCTTTGACTTCGATCCGAACAGCTAGAGTTCACACAATAAATAACTTCACCAGGGCTTTTGCATCTTACAAAGCACTTTCACAAACATTATCATTTTGCTCTTCACAATAGCTCTACAAGCTGGCCAAGCACTTACTCCTTCAAGGACGAGTTCCCATGCCTGTTTTCCAAAGGAGAAAGCTGAGGGAAATGTCTGTGACCAAGGAAGGTGGCACGGTGAAGTGTCACAGCTAGTTCCTAAAACCAGATCTCTTGCTCAGCCCCGGGCCCTTCTGCACACCAGGGCACCCATGGAGGCAAGACAGTGGCAAGATGGAGCAGTCAGAGAAGGCCTGGAAGATTCCAAGGCCTGCATTCCTCTGTGAAGGAAACGACTTATAAATGCTAGTGAAGTGTTTCGTGGCTCTTTTAAAGACTTGTTGGTGGAGCGTGATAAAGGTATAGAAATTAAGAGGGATTTTTTTTTTAATGAATTTAAGTTTCTGCTTTTTTTTTTAGGTATGTACTGATCATGAAGAGAATGCCAATGTTCTCATCTAATTAGGTTACACTCTGAATCATCTGGAGGCAGCTGATGGCATCCTCAAGAGCCCTCACCTACTCTGTAGACATGGACAGATCCGTGACTTTACAAATGGTCTCTTTCTGTCTGGGTCCAAGTATTCACAGCTGAGAGCACTTGTCTTTCCCAGATAACATGAGACATACTATGCCCATACTTATAAATCACAAGGGCCTCCTATGCCTGTTTCCAAGATAAAATATTAACAACTTGAATGTTATTAATATCAAAGAGATGTTCTAGAGTCTTTCAATAATTTTAAGTATCAGAAGGTAAAAGATGGGAAAACATTTAACTAAAATTTACTGGGTTAAAAGAGACCCCAAGAAATCATTTGGTCAGACTGCCCATTTTGGGTTGAGGACAATATTCAAAATATTCCAAAATTTAGTATATACTTTACTTTTCACCACCCTACCCCCAAGTTCCAGAGAATGAAAATTAATAGACTGCTCTAGTCAGACATTCCCATGACTTGTATCTCATAGAAGTAACAGGTTTTACTCAAGACTAGCCATCCAACATGAAATCTCTTCTATCATCCTTTGGAGATACTAAGGAAAACAACATGGTGGTTTTAAAAGCAAGACCTTCATATGTACATCAGCTTATCTATACATATTTATAAAAGAAAGGAAACACATCATTCTCAAAAGACACAATATGAGTGACTGCCAGAGAGGTGAGGGGTGGAGGGGAACGGGCAGAACGAGTGAGGGGAGTGCAAGGTATAGACGTCCAGTTAGGGAATGAATGAGTCACAAGGGTAAAAGGTACAGCACAGGGAATACAGTCAAAACAAGGGGAAAACAGTGCATAGCATTTAGCAAATGTTCAGTTCTCATGGTAAGACAAATGAAGTTTCCATGCTAAAGGATCCTCACTTAAGTGTAAGGAACCTAAGTGCCCTAGAATAAGGCCTGGGAGCATAGGGGCCCTGCTTTGCTCCTCCAGTCCCTGTCATGGTCCCAGGCACAGGATAATTACTCATTAAGTAGTAGATGGTGGATGAAAGGTAGGTGGGTACATGAACAGATGGAAAGGCAAACTGACTAAGTAGAGAGTCTCAGCTTGCTAATTAAAATTGCACTGAAACTACACATCATCTTCCACTAATGGCTGGTCATACAGTCTGGCAATAGTACTTGTTAGTTGTCCTTCATTTAAGCAAGAAGCCAGATTTATCTGCTCTGTTAAGATCTTTCCCACATGGAAACCCCACCAACCCACCCCCGCTAAACTACAAATAATGGGGGAATGTTTTGTTTGAGGCTAGAAAGAGTGATTTCCATCTTTATTCTCACTGATTCACTGTTCTTGAGTGACTTTGGTCTCGGATGCTGCATGAAGTAGGCTTCCAAGTCCCTCATGAGGGGGTCAATTTGCCTTTGCCTCTCTTTGCTTGTTTACCATCATACTGGACAGTGGGCTCTGTCAAGGGCCACACAATGGCTGTTGGACACCTGGAAGCAACTTCATTGTCTTCAACTGTTTATGTTTACAGGCTGTTTGCTTCTTTGTATCACTGAGTGGAAGAGACCATGAATCACAGTCTATTAAATGAAATTACCATGTAGGTGTACAATCATTGCAGACAAAAGAGAACAAAAACATAATTTGTACCAGCTTTGCTATGTATGAAGATTTCCTTAAATGGCTTCTGAAAATGTCACAAGAAAAGATATGCAATAATGCTGGGCACACAGGTACAAAAAGTTGTGGCGCACGCACCATTACAAAAAAGAATACAAAAACGATTACCTCTTATACATTGCTGGACAGTAAACAATGCACCCACATGCATTATCTCGCTGATTGTCAAAATGATTCTGAGAAGTAAGCAGGGCATGTGTTTGAATCTCCATTTTAGAAAGAGAAAATCAAGGCTGTAAGAGGTTCTCGGACTTAAATTCATATAAGCCAGTAGGAGTTGTTGTGTTTTGGTAGCAGGATAGAAACTAAGCGCTCCTAAATTCCAGCATGCCTTAAGGCTTTAGGGATAACTTGTTTTCTACAGCAAATGACATGAATCGTACCTGGTTTACTTCCTGAATAGTTGCTATTCTGTCCCGAAATAGCAGAGGGATGGCTGGAGGTGGCAGTTTTCTTTTCTTGCACTTTGTAGCTTTCAGGCACTATACAAGTGAGACAAAGAGAAAAGACCATATTTAGTTTCTTAAAATTGATTCAGAAACATTCACCTATTCAATGTTTACTGTGAACCTTTGTATCAGGTACGAGGCTAGATTTAGGAAATAAAAAGATGAGGCTGTTACAACTCTTGCTGGCTCAGTGGGAAGGACACACCCCGAACTCAAGGGCTGTGGCTCAACCGATCCTCCAGCAGTAGCGTGTTCAAGGTTGGTCCCAGTTTATACATAAAGCAAGCACATGGAAGCATGACTGGTATCCAAAGTCTCTGATCTCAGTTCTTAGAAAGCTCATGCATTAGGGACCCAATATTCCAAGAACATACCCAAGTGGGTCACTAGAAGGGAGCCAGGACATAAAATTTACTAGGATTTTGAAACAGCTACTGGCAAAAGTTCCGTAACACAGATTATTAAAGAGACTATGGGAAATGTATTCTAGGAAAGGAATGAAGGGCAGACATACCCGATAATTCTCTGGTTATGTCAAGTGCAGGATCCCATACTTTAAACATATTACTTTCTTTACCCCTATGTATTTTTCAAAGATTTTATTTATTTTTCAGAGAGGGAGAGCACAAGCAGGGGGAGCTGGAGGCAGAGGGAGAAGCAGGCTCCCCACGGGGCAAGGAGCCTGATGCAGAACTCAATCATAGGACCGAGGGGTCATGATCTGAGCTGAAGGCGGATACTTAACACACCGAGCCCCCCAGGCACCCCTTTACCCATATTACTTCAGTGTATTTCAAAGGATATTTAAAAGATGTCTGCTGCTGTCTCAGATACAAATTATGTCAAAAACCAAGCCCATAGGTTTCTGCCCCCTACTCTCTGCCTTATAACCTGCTCTGCTGTCTTCCTCACCAGCTGAGAATTCTGCCCTTCCAGCTGATCATGTCCCAAACCCTGGACTCACCCTTGATCCTCATGTTTAATCTGTTGGTAAGGTCTTTCCCCTCCCTCTACCTTATAAAACATTTTACCACCTCTCTGGCTGCCTCTCTAATCATCTCCTCCCTGTGTGACTACAATATACTCTTACCCAGTCTACCTGATCTTCCCACTGACCACCTTTAGTCTGTTTTCTTCGTAGTAGCCAGGGTGATCCCCTTAAAATACAAGTGGCGTCACCCCTCTGCTCAGAACTCTCCAATAGCTCCCAGCCTGCTTGGAGTAAAACCTAAGGTCTCCATCATGGCCCACAAGGTACCCCTTTCCTTCTGAATTACTCTGTTCTAGTCATCCTGACTTAGTCCATCCCAGAACCTTGGAAGGAATCGAAACATTCTTGTCTCTGATACCCACATGGATTTCACGTCCTCTGGGACTCTGCTCAAATAATCAGATAAGAAAATCCTCTTGAATTGTTTAAAATAGCAACCCCACCACTCAGCACTTCACACTCCTTCCCTGCTTTGTTTGGAGCCCTTGTCCCTGACATAGGACACATTCTCTCTTCATTAGGCTAAGGAAATTGGACATTATCTAGACAATAGGAATTACTTGATCAATGTTTTTGAACCAGAAAAGATGGGATGATAATTATGCTTTAAGAAGAGTAAATAATTTAAAAACTGTTCCTAAGACATACTGAGAAAAATTAGTAAAAAAAAATTCCCTAAATTTATCTTTGACCTCTAGAGAGCAATACACCAAATTTTTGTGGTATTAGCATGGAAAATTGTAGATAATGGGGTGCCTGGGTGGCTCAGGCAGTTAAGTGTTTGATTCTTGATTTCTCAGGTCATGATCTCAGGGTCTTGAGCTCGAGCCCTTCAATGGGCTCCGTGCTGAGCAGGGAGTCTAGTTGAGATTCTCTCTCTCTCCCTCCCCCTAACCCTGCGTACATGCACACACTCTCTCAAATAAATAAATCAGTAGATATTAACCATTATATTATTTTATTATACTTATTATTAATTATTAATTATTAACTATATATTATAATTAATATGTATTGACTAATATAGATAAAATCATAGACTAAACAGTAAAAGTATCTTATACAAATCTTTTATTATTGCTTACTTTGGATTTGTTTGCTTTAAATAATAGTTTCAAACACAGACATTGACTGGTTTAAGTTTTATCTATTGGGCTTTTTTGCCTTTATTTTCAAGGAAAGTTCTGTAAACATACAGTAAAAAATGAGCAGATAGCAAATAAAAGGCCTCATTCGGTGTCTTCTGATAGGACTTTGTCACTTGAAATTTTACCAGGCAAGTTACCACTGGAAAAGGGCTACATGGTGTGTAAATGTGCTTACACTGGAGGATGGTGGCTGGGAGAGAAACTGAAAGGAGTATGAGTGTAACCAGGATAGGCTCTGATTCTGATACTGATCTAGAAGGGAAATCAGTAAGTATGCTCGGTTCTTTAATGATGTCACATAACCTCTCATCCCACCTACTAAAAAGGAGTTGCCAGTTGTCACCATGTGGCAGGTGAAACCCAGGCTAACTGCTCTTGGCTCTAGGCTCACAACTTTAGAGAGATCCCTAAAGATACAAAAAAGTTGATGAAACTCAAAACTAGGAAAGTTTCTAACTCACTGTGTATAGAACAGCCTTTCACAGGGCTCCTGGGTAGAGCAGATGGTTAAGCGCAGTTAAGCACCTGACTCTTGGTTTCTGCTCAGGTCGTGATCTCATGGTTGTGAGATCAAGCCCTGTGTTGGGTTCTGCACGGAGTCTGCTTGAGATTCTCTTTTCCTTTCTATCTGGCCCTCTTGCTCATACTTGTGCTCATGCTCTCTCTAAAATAAATACATCGTGGGGTGCCTGGGTGGCTCAGTGGGATAAGCCTCTGCCTTCGGCTCAGGTCATGATCTCAGGGTCCTGAGATCAAGCCCTGCATTGGGCTGTCTGCTCAGCGGGGAGCCTGCTTTCCACCCCACCCCCACCTGCCTCTCTGCCTACTTGTGATCTTTGTCAAAGAAATACATAAAATCTTTAAAAATAAATAAATAAAATAAGTATATCTTTTAAAAGAAGAAACTTTCTCCTTATTCTGCAAGTCAATCTTATTAAAATTACTCATAAAGAAGTTAACTATTAAGAAACATAACAGAAAGAAGCAGAATATATCACATATTTGGAGTACTAGGATTATAATTTTCTTTTTGTTATATAGCTACCTCCGGCACACAGTAAGTAAAGCCTTAATTAGGAAGCTATTTATGGATCTGTTATATATTATTTTTACATAACTGAAAAAGAATTAGAACCATTTGTCTAGAACATATTTCAAATGTATTCCTTTCTTGCCTATATTTGACATAATTTAATCTTTCTCTGGTGACTGAATATCCGCAGGGCCCCCAGGTCCTGACAACAAACATCAATCCTAACTGGATATTATGTAACCGTCCACCAAGAAGGAGATTAAAAAGACTATAACACATGTTCAGTCCCAGTGATTTTTCCAAATAATCCCTGATAAAAGCTTTTTCTGGGGGGTGGGGAGCTATAATTGTTTCATAATCTTGAAATTCAAATGTAAAAAATATACTTGAATTTAACTGGAGGTCTGGTTACTTGAATGCCAGTTTATCTACTCCTGATTTCTACTGGAGCTGCTCTAGTGGAACATCTACTCGCCTGCCCTCCTACCATCCGGATCCCAGGGATTCATTGCTATCCCAGAAGACCTTCTGCATCTAACTCACAACAAGATGCATTGAAAATCTTAGAATTTTTAGGGGCGCCTGGGTGGCTCAGTTGGTTAAGCGACTGCCTTTGGCTCAGGTCATGATCCTGGAGTCCAGGGATCGCGTCCCACATCGGGCTCCCAGCTCCATGAGGAGTCTGCTTCTCCCTCTGACATTCTCCCCTCTTATGCTCTCTCACTCTCCCTCTCTAATAAATAAATAAAATCTTAAAAAAAAATCTTAGAATTTTTAATGCTCATGTAAAAATGACAGTTTAACTTAGTAAAGCAAAAGTAATTTTACAAACGGTCAGTCTGTTCATTATATATTGTTACAACTCTAACAATTATAAATTACAAATAATTGCTAATGTCTACCCTTTAGGTTGGACATTCATCTAAAGTTTTCAGGTTATCTTTCTACTTTTCTATCAGTCCACTTTTCCTTCCGCCTCTGTAAGAATCTTTACTTCTCCAACAACCTCTCTGGTTAATACTCTATTGTGATAAGGCAGAAGATATAAACTCAAACAGATCTGGACTCAGGTGACCTTCAGAAAGTTTCTCGACTTCTCTGAGTAGGTGTGTGTGGGGGGATATGGCCTCCCTCATAGGGCTGCTGGGAAGATGGGAGGATTAATGGAGAAGATGCGTGGGAAGAATCTGCCATAGAGCTTAGTGCACAACAGGTATTTAACACACTCCTTTTCTCTCTTTCTCTCTTCCGATGAGGTCCTGGGCCTTCCTCAACCACGGTACTTGCCGCACTTGGCATGGTGTAGCAGTGTGTTTGGAAGTTTCCAGGAGGTGATGTGTGCTCTGGAGTCAGCTGAGCTTGCTGTGCCCTTAACCGGGTTTCAAATCTCAGCACATCACTTAACCTCTCAGCCTTAATTTTCCCATCTGTAAAGAGGGACAACACTAAGTTTCAGGGTTGTGAAAATTAATGAGAGCACTGGGCCCACCACAAGGCTCAATAACTGGTAGAAAGCATTTTTTTTTTTTTTTTTTTTTTGCTCTCTCCTTATTCCCTACACAAATGTAGGAAACTGGGTTTCCATTTCCCCAGGGCTTTGCTCATGCAGCACTAATGGGGAAAGTAACCTATGTCAACTTGGTGACAGGGTCCTGGGGAGCAAAGTCTGGCTCAGCTGCTGGTTTCAGAGGTTTCCAACTCAGCAACAATCACACCTCCTGGGGACCCTCAGGGTAGTAGGTGGGGCTTATTGGTATGGTTTTTAGGGTACAACCTGTCTTTGGAAGAGGTAATCCTCAGTGTTTCTGGGACTTAGATGACAGCTTCAAGAGACAGAATGCCCTTCAAGTTACTACTGCAT